GCCCCCTTGCGCAAGGCCGCCGTGGCGCCCGGGCCCTGGAAGGTGCCCGGCTCCGACAAGCTGCCGGGCGTCCTCAAACCCGGCGCCTCGGCCGCCAGCAGATGAGCCGCGCGGCCGCGGCCCGCCGGCCCGCCTCACCGCGGGCCGTTCTTCTTCCCGTCTCACGGCGTTTTAAGTTATTTTCACTGTCACACGCGTAGATCCACGAGGCACCAAGGCCCGGGAGCATCGACGTGAAGTCCCACGTGTCCGATGAGCACGGGCGGCCACCCGTCCACGCGCAGACCTAAACTGATCCTAAAGCCCCGGCTCCATTGTGGGGGCTTTGGCAGCTATGGAAGAACCAAAATAACGTGACGAACACCACAGAGAGACAGTGCAGTGTAGCTTTAGTAAAAACGAAAAAATTACCCCCACTGCATGAAGGATCGGATGTCATCCAAACTTTGTATCAAGAAACTGGACAAGCTAAGAGCAATCACAAACTGGAATATCGCCTTAAAAATCAAACTGCACGGAGCAAGCTGAAACTGAGACAAGATTATATCTTTTAATTGATCTAAAGCGTTGTAAATAAATTGTTCTTGACATATCTAGACAGGGGTTAAAGGGTTTCTTTGAAGCATTCAGAACTGTTCGCCCATGACATGTTTCCATGGCTCGCCCTTGGCGTCCGTCACCGGTATTAGCACCGTTCCCTGCGAACTGCAGGATGGGTTAGACATCTAGTGAATTTATTGGTGTGATGCCATTTTTGCTGCCATTTCTGTGATCAAGTCATATTTCTGTACATTTTCAGTGGTAGGGGAAAAAAGGTTTTAAAAGTTGTATCCTAGGGAAGTTTGCCGTAAGTCAGTATTTTGCAGTTTAGCTCATAGATCTTAATTGGTTTTCCTCTAAAATATGAATCTTATAATTGAAGGACCACAATTTGTTTAGTCAAGATTGGCAACGCTGCAGTTCCTTTATGAAAAGGCTTTCCTGTTGTTCCAGGCTAGCAGAGATAGATGGCTTCTTTGTCAGCAATATTTCACTTATTTTATTGTCTTATTTTAAACTCTCTTCCTTGACTTTATTTGCACTTTGACAGAGCAGAGGCAAATTATTTGTCCTATATTTCTCAGATTATAATGAATTTCTAATATTAAAAAATCTTTATTATAACCAATTTATTTTCATTAAAGAACGTGAGTCTTTTTAGCATTCCTTTCTGCTTATCTTTCTTTCCTGATTCTTTCTCCTTTTGCTTCCATTTGGTTTACTTTTGTCTTGTATTCTTTGCCAATTATTTATTTCATTAGCATCCCCTAGATGTTTCTGTTTATAGTCATAGATTATGATTGATCTAGTAAAATTTTGAGGCTTTCCTTTCTTCCCTGCTGTTTTAGTATTTCTTTTTAAAATGTTAGCTTCAATTAATTATCTGTTGGTACTTATTGTAGCTCTACATATTAAAAGGCAAATGTTTCTGAAGGCAATTTCTCTTTGATACGCCCTGAATGAATGAGGCTTCATCCTTCCCATATTCCGCCCCTTACAAGAGTTCAAATGCAATAAGCCTCACCTCCCCGCACTTGTAGTCAAATAAGTAAAAGGCGGAGATCAGGTCCATCACACAGGTCACACCTAACAGCCTCCCTTGACTGACTCTTTTCCTCTCTTTGTAATTGCAGTAACCTGAGCGCCAGCAGTTTAATTTCCATCAGGCATAGAGTAGTTTAGTTGTTTGACAAGAGGAGAATGTGGTTGAAAGCCTCAAATGAAGGGTCTTGCAGCTTGTAAAAGCAATTTCCAAAAATGAAACCCATTCATCATAAACAAAAGCACAAACACATGTAGCAGTTTATAATCCTTTTGGTTTAATCTCAATTAGTCTTTCTCCCCTGGACTAGAAATCCAGTATAGTTTGCCATTAATTTATTGAATCTGGTTTTGGACAATGCTTCTGTAGTGTAGCTGCACGTCCTGGTACTGTATCCTCTGACCTTTATTTTCCATGTGTTACAAAAGGAAAAAAAAATGAGATTACGCTTGCATAAACTCTAATTTGCACAGTTCACAGCTACTACTTGTGCAGTAATTGCTTTATGCAGCTGTAATCCATAACCTGTGAAGACAGCACATCATCTAAATCCCATTCCAAATAATATTTCTGTGTAGTGTTAGCTGTGAATTTACCCTGTACAGCTGTATCTCTATAAATATAATTCCATGTATTAATAGTCACAGAAAGACTGTAAGTGAGCAACTATTTTTATGAAACGCACCACTATGGATAAATTAACTTTTACAGAAATCTTGTTTACTGTATGATATTCTAAAACACTGTCAAATAAAATATATATCCAAAAATCTTTTCTTTTTCCAACTATATAGGTTGTGTGTTAATTTGAAATAGATAATTACTGGGGGTTAACTTCGTTTTTAAAAACTGCAGCTTTCATAAATGTTTAAGTTTAATGCCTCAAACAGAACTTCTTTGAAACTTGAATCTAAATGCAGTGGCATTTACATGGGAAAGTTTGTTGGCTTTTTTGGCCCAAGTAAACTGAGAGTTTTCTCATAGACAGTCTAGTTGGTATTTGCCTGTCAGCTTCTTACATCTTTTATGAATTGGCAGTATATTTCTGTTGCTTGCTACATTGATTGATACTGCACCTTTTTTCAAAAAGGATTTAAAGTATCAATCAACAATAAATTCCATCACGTTTTTTTCCTTTTGACTCTCAAACGTTTTCATACAAAAATCCCAAAGAGTTCATGCAGAAGCCAAAATTTAGTGAGGAGCAGTGCATAGGTCCAAAATTAGTGGCCAAATATAACTTTTGCTCTAGGGAGAAGGGAGAGTTCTGCATGGGCATTGGGTGATGACGACCCTGCCATCACAGAGTTTACAATCTAAAGGAACAGTTCTCAACCCTGGTCGAAGACTTTTTCCACTTTTGTCAATAGGAGACCTAAAATACCCAAAGTGTCAATCTTTTAGTCCAATACAAATTTTTAAATTAAATATACTGTGCATCACTTTTAGAAAAGGGAAGAGGTGACATGAAGTGTGAAATCAAACGCAAAAGTTAAGATATTTGTAATAACTATATGCAGTTCTTTTATGAAATAATTGGAGAATAGCCCAGTGCAAGCTGAAAAGCAAAATATCTATAAAACAATGTAGTTAGCAAGAGGGGTGTAAATATTAATAATGCACCACTAATTACCATTTTAAAAGAAAAACATGAAAACTATTAGGACACCAGAAAGATAGGAAATCAAAGGCCAAAGGGAATAGGAGAGGGAAGGGGCAGGGACTGGGGTGAGGCAAGTGAGGCACCTGGCCTGGGCGCCTTATTGTGAATTCAAATGTCTCCAAAGTCAGGCAGGAAAATATGAAAACATGAAGGGAGCCAGGTGGGGACTGGGCCAAAGGACGAGCATGTCCTCCTCTAAAGCTGCCATTTGGTCAAGTCCAGTGTGAAATAGTTTTCCATTTACTCAAGAGAAGAAAGAAAAACTGAACTCTATTTGAAATTATACTTTTTTAAAAGTTTGACTAGTTTAGTTCACATTTTTAAGAAACGCTGAGTGAGAAGAAAAAAGTAGGACCACATCAAACCATCTGCAGGCTGAACCTGGCCCACAGCCCACCAATTTGCAGCCGCTGTCTTGGAACAACAGCCAGGCCTTAGGCAGAGAACCCCTTGCTTTCATCAGGGTCTGATTCACCTTCCCAGCAGTGAACAGCACAGATCCAGAGGTGGTAAAGCCTGTGGCTATTGAAGTACATACATGCCTGGAATAGCTTCAAATGTGTATTCTAAGCATGACAACTCCGCCAGAAACCTGACTGCTGTTCCTGCAGTGGAGGCAGATTTGTTGTGAAGCTAAAGAAACTGAAGCTGCATGAGCCCTGAATTTTATTTAAAACTTTATATTCTTTTGTAAACGAGTTCCTCCCAAATTGTGTAAGCTTGAGCTCCCCAACGTTGAATCTACTCCTGCCTTCTTGATAATGCTATTTTTCAGGCCAAACTCATGGCAAAATTAAATGACTCATTACTGAAAGAATTTAGATTTAACAGAGATTTCTTTTTCAGACAACCGTAGTGCCAGACAGGATCCCTGTAAAATCACGAGTGCTTTCCAAGTCTTAAAATAGTAAGGGTACTATGTCTAAAGATAATTCCGCCGCATGTCTGGTTCATGCAGGCCCCAATTAAATGTGTAGAGATTACGATTATGATT